AGTGGTGGTAACCACCGATAGACTGGGCAGAACGAAATGGAGAAAAGAGGAAGCAACATCATCTTTAAATCTCCAAGTAAAGAATTTAGTTCTTGTACTTCTGTGTCTGGTACTTCTGTGTCTGGTACTTCTGAGACACAGAAGTACACACAGAAGTACCAGACCGGTACTTCTGTGTCTCTCACATCATCTCTTATGTCCTTAATGGTAATTGGTGTTGTTCAAAGTGAACATTGTCTGAATTGTGTTTCTGGTTTTGTACAAGTCAATGGGAAAGAAGTGTGTTTATAAGGCACTCAGGAGAAAATGTATCCTGTCAATATTTCTTTTCCTCAGTTTACATCACAACTCTATTGAGGAGAATCATTCGTCCCCTACCATTTGCCACCCACACATATACTGTACCCATGATAAATTTAGCGATTACGATTATCGTGATATCAATTTTTTTTTTTGGACTTTGTAAGGACACAAACCCACCCCCAAACGAGTGAACAACCAAACTCCACGCAGAGAGACCAGGGAATGACCATTCTTCCTGTAAGACCAGAGCACTTTACTGTGATCTATAGCTATATCTCCATATATAGGTGTAGAATGTCTCAGTCCCTGCTACTGCTGGCGGTCAGAGATGAATAGACTACAGCTCCAATGCTGCTGCTGCTGCTGCTGAAGGATATGAAGTCGGCTGACTCACCCGTCGTACGCCTACCTGAGCTCAACCTGTTCCCTCTTTCACTGCTATTTGACAGTGAGTGGATTCATGAGGTCTATAAAAAAGTTATATTTTCAAAGTAATGAAATGACCTGAGAGGGAAAGCCCTGGACAAGAGGCCCGGAATCACGACCCCATCTGATTTGTTCTGAATAAAATCTGACAGGTTCTGAGGTGAGTGAATTCACAGAACATCTGTTTTCACGTTATTATTTATTTGCTGTGGTCACAAGCTGAGTGACACACACTCACGCCTCCACATACACAAGCTGTGTTGCCACTTTCTATTTCTATTTCTTTATTTTTCTTGAATTTATTCATGGCCCTGAGGTCTGATGCATGTGAAGTGGCAGGAGGAAATGGAGGAAATTGTTTTATGGTCATTTTTCTCCTATGTTCTGGAATATGGAATTTAATTTTTACCTCTGTATTTCCTGCACTTCTCATATCTTCAACATTCTTAACTTATCAATTTTTACATTTTTATAATGTGTCTAATTTGAGAGAAAAAAAAATCACATTATTTCTGTCTGGCTCTGAAAAAAAAAATCTAATTAACACTTAATCGTCGTTGATACTTTTTGAAACCGACATAAAAATCTTTATTTAAAAAAAAAAACAGCTTTAGTTTTTACAATTTGATGGAGTTGTAGTTCAGTAGCAGTCAGCTGAGCCTCATTAAGTGCACAGGTAAGATTGTCTCCTAACTATGTAGAAGGTCAAATGTTTGATGCCCAGCTTACGTGCTATGATGATGTGTACCAGAACAAGTCACCTACAGTAAAACCAGGTCATGTAAATACAGATCCTTTACCATCACACAACAGGGAAACGCAAACAAAGAGAATGCATGTCATATCCAAATAATTCACAATAATATGTAATAATATGTAAATCCAGTTGCTAAAATCTGTTGTTGTTCATGTACGAGGCAGCTGTCGGGTTTTCTGGTTTGCGCAAGCCGTGGATGATGACACCACTTCAACCACATCAGTGCTGGTAGCTACTGCAACATTATGGCAACATCATGGGTTTCACACATTTTGCAGTGCATGCAACATGTCTCTCTGTCACATTTGAAATTCTAGTTTTATTTTCTCGTCTAAGTTCACAGCCGCCAACCTCTTCATAGATGTTTCCCCCCAACATATTCTCTCTCTACCGGTTTTCCTTCTGCCCCCTAGTGGCCACACCTGGCTAATTTGACAACAACATACTACTGTATTATCATACACCAAATTCAGAGTGATGGTGTGTGTCAAGGCTGTCACTCTTCTCCAAACATACATATAACCAGAGCACAGATAACAGGACAATCTGAATGTAGATGATGACAGTCACACGTCATCCCACACACTGTACTGAACCGGCAGTCAGACCTCGTTATGCTTTGGCATGTGGAGTCTGGACAGCTGTCTGCTGGAAGTGTACTGACTGGAATTATTCTTGTTCCCCAGGCTGTTTGTCAAAGGGGAATTCTATCTGACCAGTATTTGCCACATGTTATTTGTTTTTATCCTGACATCCAATGACTGTATTCAGCAGCATCCTTCACTAGCTGAATCTGTTCTTCCTCCCACAGCTCAAACACATGTAGCAACGTGTTGACTCTATACGTGGAAGACTGATGAACTGTCCGGGGTTCTGCCCCGACCGCAGCTGAAGACTGATGGGATTGGCACCAGCGCTTTTGAGACAATGAAAAGGACTAGGGTCCGTAGTGCTGCTGCTGCTGCTGAAGGATATGAAGTCGGCTGACTCACCCGTCGTACGCCTACCTGAGCTCAACCTGTTCCCTCTTTCACTGCTATTTGACAGTGAGTGGATTCATGAGGTCTATAAAAAAGTTATATTTTCAAAGTAATGAAATGACCTGAGAGGGAAAGCCCTGGACAAGAGGCCCGGAATCACGACCCCATCTGATTTGTTCTGAATAAAATCTGACAGGTTCTGAGGTGAGTGAATTCACAGAACATCTGTTTTCACGTTATTATTTATTTGCTGTGGTCACAAGCTGAGTGACACACACACAGACACACACACACCTCCACATACACAAGCTCTGTTGCCACTTTCTATTTCGATTTCTTTATTTTTCTTGAATTTATTCATGGCCCTGAGGTCTGATGCATGTGAAGTGGCAGGAGGAAATGGAGGAAATTGTTTTATGGTCATTTTTCTCCTACGTTCTGGAATATGGAATTTAATTTTTACCTCTGTATTTCCTGCACTTCTCATATCTTCAACATTCTTAACTTATCAATTTTTACATTTTTATAATGTGTCTAATTTGAGAGAAAAAAAAATCACATTATTTCTGTCTGGCTCTGAAAAAAAAAATCTAATTAACAATCGTCGTTGATACTTTTTGAAACCGACATAAAAATCTTTATTTAAAAAAAAAAACAGCTTTAGTTTTTACAATTTGATGGAGTTGTAGTTCAGTAGCAGTCAGCTGAGCCTCATTAAGTGCACAGGTAAGATTGTCTCCTAACTATGTAGAAGGTCAAATGTTTGATGCCCAGCTTACGTGCTATGATGATGTGTACCAGAACAAGTCACCTACAGTAAAACCAGGTCATGTAAATACAGATCCTTTACCATCACACAACAGGGAAACGCAAACAAAGAGAATGCATGTCATATCCAAATAATTCACAATAATATGTAATAATATGTAAATCCAGTTGCTAAAATCTGTTGTTGTTCATGTACGAGGCAGCTGTCGGGTTTTCTGGTTTGCGCAAGCCGTGGATGATGACACCACTTCAACCACATCAGTGCTGGTAGCTACTGCAACATTATGGCAACATCATGGGTTTCACACATTTTGCAGTGCATGCAACATGTCTCTCTGTCACATTTGAAATTCTAGTTTTATTTTCTCGTCTAAGTTCACAGCCGCCAACCTCTTCATAGATGTTTCCCCCCAACATATTCTCTCTCTACCGGTTTTCCTTCTGCCCCCTAGTGGCCACACCTGGCTAATTTGACAACAACATACTACTGTATTATCATACACCAAATTCAGAGTGATGGTGTGTGTCAAGGCTGTCACTCTTCTCCAAACATACATATAACCAGAGCACAGATAACAGGACAATCTGAATGTAGATGATGACAGTCACACGTCATCCCACACACTGTACTGAACCGGCAGTCAGACCTCGTTATGCTTTGGCATGTGGAGTCTGGACAGCTGTCTGCTGGAAGTGTACTGACTGGAATTATTCTTGTTCCCCAGGCTGTTTGTCAAAGGGGAATTCTATCTGACCAGTATTTGCCACATGTTATTTGTTTTTATCCTGACATCCAATGACTGTATTCAGCAGCATCCTTCACTAGCTGAATCTGTTCTTCCTCCCACAGCTCAAACACATGTAGCAACGTGTTGACTCTATACGTGGAAGACTGATGAACTGTCCGGGGTTCTGCCCCGACCACAGCTGAAGACTGATGGGATTGGCACCAGCGCTTTTGAGACAATGAAAAGGACTAGGGTCCGTAGTAACAGGTGGTACGGACTGACCAGTCCTTGGAACAAAAAAGGTCAGGGACCGCTGGTATAGATGTAACTACTCCATAACAGACTAATGCACGTTTCTGCAATTGATTATTATTTACTTAAGCTACAAATTTCATTCATTACTGTGTAATAAAAAAAAAGGGCCACACAAAACGGCTAGGCGGGCCACATTTGGCCCCCGGGCCTTGAGTTTGACACGTGTGCTCTACCTTATTTCATCCTTCCTTCTCTCCCAGTGTTTGTGCACAATGAAATATTAATGAATAGAAGGGAGTGCTAATTCTGTCAGTGGAGCTTCTGCGGTATGACGTGAAAAAGAGTGTGTGTTGGGGGAGCTATGGGGGGGTCCAAAACCCGTCATCGGTCTGACAGATGAGATCTGCAGTTTCACTGTTTGCAGCAACATCCATCAGACTTCCTCCATCATCTCTGAGTGCAGGCAGCCCAGCGGCAGTCATTTCATCACAGAGATGAGTTGGTCCACGGGGGGTTTGGACCAAACTAATTTGTACCAAATAAGTAATTTTGAAAAAACAGAGAGAAAAATAAAACTGTGATTTCACGTTGCACTTACTATAAAATATAAATTAGTATATTTAAAACTGAAAGAAGGCATGGAATAAAAAAATAAATGCTCTGTCAGAGACTGACAACATAATGACACTGGACAAGTACAAAAAAAAAAAAAAAAAAAAAAAAGAAGTGGATTCGACCGCAGTTTGGTTTGCAAATACTTCAGACGGGAAAGGGTAGTTTTACCGTTTTTGTGAGGACGGCCAGGACATGCGGGGCTTCTTCAGTCCGGGTCTCAGCTTCTCCAGGGTCCTGTTCCGGCACAGGTAGCGTTCGGAGTCCGAGTTGAAGCGCTGTTTGATGCGTATGTGAGTTCGGGGCTGTCGCCACAAGTGTTTGGGAGGTTTGGCGAAACCCGCTCCGTCTCTGTTCAGAGTGGCACAGTCCATTCTTCTTCACTTCTGTCTGTCTTCCTTCCTTGTTCGTTTTTTGTTTTGTTTTTTCTCCCTTGTTTTGAAACGATGCGGTTTGACAAGGGCGCGAGGAAAAACGAGAAAGAAAAGCGAAAACTCTCTGAGTTTTACGCGGCGTTTACGCACAGAGAGACAGAGACATGTTGGTGGCGCTGCTGCTGCTGCTGCTGCTGACCAGTAGCATCAGTGATGGAAACACACTGCCTTGCTCTCTCTCCTTCTCTCTGTATCTTTTATATCCCCTCGGTCTCTACCACCCCTCTCTCTCTCTCTCTCTCTCTCTCCTTCATTTTCCTCACCCCTCTGCTTGTCTCATGCGCTTATTTTCACTCCCTCTACCGTATGGTCTCTTTCTCATTTCCTCTAAGTGTCTTCCCCTTTTCTACCCCCCTCTATCTTTTCTCACTTTTTTAGTCTTATTGAACCACACCTTCCCGAATACACACATCTTATACTTAGCAATCATTTTAGTGCTGCCGAACAACAGGAAAGAAAAGAAGAGAAAAGAAGAGAACAAAAAAGGAAGGAAAAAGGATTTCCACAGTAATGAGTTTTTTTGTAATCAAACTGGTTTTCCAGTTGATTGATCAACCAAAGACATCAGAGACACACAGGAGAATAACAACAACAACCGCTGATGCATTCTAATGGTTAACAAGGCTGGAGAGACAACAGGTGGAGGCGCAGGAGCTCCATCTGGTTGACAAACAACAGTATGGGTGTCGACCGTGCATGCTGATTTCTGCACCCACTTAAAGGGGGAATAAAAACGCACACATTTCTAAGTCACACTTCTGATTCCAAAAAGAAAATCTGCTGACAGATATTTTTGTTTTTCACCCTGAAGCGAAGAGTCGCAATTGGAGGGAGTGAAAGTGAGAAACAAAGGGAGGAGAGGAGGAAGAGGGATGGGGTTTTTTGTTCCCCTTAATTAATGTGTTGTTATGTCAGCAAAAAAAGAACGATTCATGTCAACAACACAACATTTACGCCAAAGGCCACAACACAACGCGCTCTGAATGGTGAGACATCAGATCAGCGGGACGAAGCATAAAAAGCAAAGCCAAACTGTGAAACTGACCGGTGTGCATCGTGACTGGTCACTGCTCTGTGGTACAGCACTTCTAATTGGTCCAGGGTCAGAGCGTGCTCGTGGCAAGAGTGTCGTCTCCAGAGTGGGGGCAGCACCAGCGGGCCGGAGAAACGCCGACGCACTACCTGGAGGACCACAGGGAGGGAGTCTCTGCGATTCTGAACGAAAACAAAAGAAGAAAATGAAAAATATTGAGTGTCCAAATAAAATGTTTTCAAGTCTGCAGTCAAAATGTGTTTTTTTTTTTTTTCAGCCACCTCTATATGTCTTTGGATGCAGTACCACCACTGGCCGACAGGAGGCTGTTAAACATTTCTCACGAGATACTTAGTCAATAACTTTTTCAAGTAGTTCTTTGGATGTAAACAACTAGACTATATAATTATTTTTATCGTTCTGAGGCTTCGATCTCAAAGATGTCAGACATAGATCAATTTACTGAGTGAGGCTGGTCTGACAGGACTGACAGGAAGTCGAAACCTCTTTAACCTCCTGCAGTGTGTGAAAATAATAACGTGTGTGTGTGTGTGTTATCTATGTATCAGAGCAACGGTGAGGCAACTGACAGAGGCAGTTATTGGATTTACACTTCACGTCATTCTGCTAATGTGTCAAACTGGGATGAAGATTTAAATCACATCAATCTCCACCAATTGGTTAACGCCATTAATGTTAAATTCAACAGTCCTAATAGATACAGATACAAATGATGACCGGAATCTGTGTATTGACTGTAGTCTATTCTAAAAAGAATGCTAAATTTATATTGGACAGAATCTTGTGACACTTTTTTCAATATTTCATCCACAAAAACAAGACCATTTCAGAAAAAAGAAGACAAATATCTGTATTGTAGTTGTATTCAGTGAATGTTACTGCGTTGTGTTTTGTCAAAGCTGTCTCTGCCGGTCGCTTCTGAGAGAGCTCTAATATCAAAACAGAATACACAACAATTCTGAAGGCTGTTTACATTTGAATGGACTTTTGTTTCAGTTCATATTCAAAGTCACTGAAGAGCTGATTTACATTTCCATAATGGACTGCACTTAAGTTGTCATATCAGCTGTTCATGACTGAAGATTAAAGTAAAATACTGAGCCCTATGCTAGCTAATGACAGATAAATGGCTCAAAGGTCCAGATTGATTTTAAAAACATGGCAATGTCTCTTCATACCGGAGAAGGGAAATTATGACGCATCACCTGATGAGCCACGATCACTGACATCACTGTTGTAGAGTGATTTAGCAGACGGCCTCCATGTAATGGCCCTGCCGCAGCAAAATGAATGATGAAATAATTAAGTTGTCTCGGTTGGAAAATACTTCAAGAGTAAATGCCTTTGCATTACTGTGTAAAGACACGCCATTGGTCTTAAATCAGCCTGGGGAAGGAGAAGGAGGAGGAGGAGGAGGAAGAGGAACACTTTTCACATCAGACAGCAGAGAGTAGTGTGTTTGATTTCTACCCTCAGTTTTTATAACACATTTGACTTCATGTTCTTGTTGTTTATCTGTTCAATGCTCTGATGTTTGACACAGTCTGTGTGGAACTAAAATGCTTCGACTAGACAACGTAATCAAACAGACAAAAAAGTGGGTTTTATATTGTGTTGATAGACAGACAGACACACAGACAGACAGATGGATAGATAGACAGACAGAAAGATGGATAGACAGACAGATAGACAGACAGACAGATAGACAGACAGACAGATGGATAGATATACAGAACGACGGATAGATAGATAGATAGATAGACCGACAGACAGACAGACAGACCGACAGATAGACAGACAGCGAGACAAACAGATTGATAGACAGACAGATAGACAGACAGCGAGACAAACAGATTGATAGACAGACAGACAGAAAGACAGACAAACAGACAGATAGACAGACAGCGAGACAAACAGATTGATAGACAGACAGATGGATAGATAGACAGATAGATAGATAGATAAACAGACAGACAGACAGACAAACAGACAGATAGACAGACAGAAAGACAGACACAGATATGATAGATAGACAGACAGATAGAAAGATAGACAGACAGATAGAAAGATAGACAGACAGACGGATGGATAGACAGACGGATGGATAGACAGACGGATGGATAGACAGACAGATAGACAGAGAGATAGCTGCTTTAGCATCACGTGACGCAAGTGGTGTGATGGACGAAGGAGATCCGCTGTGACAGTTGGAATAAAGATTTCACTGACACCCCGTCAAGTCTACAAATCGGAGAACAACTTTTCACAGCCCTCGGGGAACATGGTGCTGGCTTCACTACATTTTCAGGGTTTTGTTGATGTTGTTACAGCACCAGATTTTTCAACTTTTCAGCTTTTTCCTTTTTCTTTGTTACTAGCACAGTGTACAGCCACATCTTATATTTCCAACAGTACGTGTATTGGCACAGAAAAGCAACATTTTATCGTAGTGTGCAATGCTGTTTTGACATTGCATTCAGTGTTAGTCTATATGAAATAGTCGCCCCCTGGTGGTTGAGTAAAAACTGTTAAATCATGAAAAACCGTTGGGTGGCTGCCCTTGTTACACTATAGTAACTGTATTGAATTTTATGATAAACTACACACTTTCAGCTCTTCCACCTGAGAGTCTAAAACCATCAAACCACATTTGAATAGTAACTCATGTAATAACACACACCCAGAGACAATCTTTCTGCCACACAAATTATCATCTACATAAGAGAGGACTGTCCAGAAAAAAAACAAGTGCAAAATTCCTCATGTCTGTCTAACATCATCTTAGCAGCACAAATGGCCAAAGATAACTGTGAAGGCTCAACTTTGACGATTCTGGAACAGTCACTTAGCAGTGAAAAAAAAAATGTTTACGAACTTTAATCAAATCCCAAAGGTGAAAAATTTAGATCACAGCATGGTCGAGCACATAAATTAAAAAAAAAAAAAAAACAATGAAAAAAAGAAAGAATTAGAAGCAGATGAAAGTCTGATAAAAGAAACAGATTTGAAACGGAACAGCAACTTCATTAGGAATGACAATTATTTAGAAATTAAACCATTCTCTGTGTAAGATTTACGAAGCCCTTTGAAGTCAGACTCTTGAATGACAGAATACTCATGACGTCTATTTATATTAAAAGTGTGACATAAACATGTGTTGATAGCCAGAGGCTGGACTTTGCCCCATAACCCTGATGTGTTCCACCTCGACTGGAGGCATGAACACCACCACCAGCTGCTCACTGTGGTTTCTCCTACACTACAGTGTCTCATTGTCTTGGTGGGTAGTTTATTCAACTAGATCAACAATCAGTTTGAACAGAAGCAAGGCTTATAACAACAATTTTACGACGTAGGCAAGTTATTAAAACACTGAGACGAGTCATGTTGTCTCTCTTCTCACAGTGAATAGATGGCATTTACACCTCATCAGGTCACGATGATACACTTTGGAGCAGATGTCATCCGTATCTTTAATAACTATGTTGTTTAATCCAGTTAGTTTTAATTTACTTAGTATTAAACTGTGGCCCGTTTAGTTGAACACAACCCTGATAGGAATTGGAGAAAGACACAAATGAAGATCTTCAACAGCTCCAAGTGTCTCTTTTGTTTAGTTTTTAATAGACATTTTCTGCCACCTAGTGGTATTATTTAAATATTTAATTGCCCTGCCAGTCCCACTGACAAGTAATCAGTAAATAAATCATAATTTTCAGACCAATTAAGCAGAATTGGACGACCTAAACTGCCACAGCAACAGGTTTATCAAAACGACATAATTTTTGAACCAATCAGTAACAGTGAGGAAGCAGCTGTTTGTATTATCAACTGGCTGCCCCCCCCCCCTCCCCTCCTCCAACTACACTACATGGGAAGTGTGAATGAGATGGAAGCAGTGTGGGCTCAGACAGGGCCACACAGTCTCAGCGGGGCGTCTGCTCTGCCTCCAAACAACAAGCAGCCGACAGCAATCATCCAGGCGACACGTTCCCCCCTTAAATAAGAGTAATGTGAAGCATTAAAGGATTCGTGCTCTTCTCTAATGTGAGCCTCATTTCAGACAAAGTGACACGAGGATGCAGATACAACTCCACTCCCAAACACCACCACCGTACTCAAGAAATCATGCCTATTGCATTGATCGATTATGAGAACTGCTGCACTTTTTCCGACGCCTGAACAAATGTGCAGACAGTGGCAATAACTGGTCATTTGGAAAGATTTGACCAGGAGAAGTGAGAGAGATGTCCACGTGTCCCTAAAGTTCCTGGTACAGATGTCTGCAGGCTAAGATACTGTCTCCAGTTCCAGGTACTAATTTCTGCCATATAATTATGCATCTTTGCTATAAGAGCTAACACACGCCACAGACACAAGGTGAGAAGTTAAACCTGTGGAGGTTAGCAGGAACCAGGTGCTATTTTACACATGAAGCTGTTAATTCTGTCAGCGTATTGAATATAGGAGTCTTTAACAACACGTTTAAAACATGTATCACACCCAGGGAGCAGGCCAACGCTTTCGGTGCAAAGTCTCTCCCTGCTGTTAATTCACATTTGGACAGTTTATACAGTGGAAACAGCAGACTGTGGACGTCGTCGTCGTCGTCATCGTGCAGATATACAGACGTAGAGTTTCACATAAACCAAGTTCAACCAGTTATTCACACTGTGACCTTCAGGTCGACACATCTTTGTAAATGTAATTGGTAACAAAAAGGCCTCAAATGTTTATTGATGAAATATGTGTAAAGTTCTTTTAAACTAATAGACCTGTATGTATTTTTGAGTACAATTCATCTGCTGTGTTTATATGCTAAACAAGATCAATCACCATGAAATATATGGCAACGTGAAGATAATTACACCAAATGATGAAATAATCTCATTAGAAGCTAAAGATCTCCCGAGAATCCTTGAGAACGATCAGAACTACTGCTGTGTTCTTAACTGAGAAAATGAATATTAATTATCCATAATGAAGAGTAGCAGAAGTAAATAAACCGTGTGTGTGTGTGTGTGTGACTGCAGAAGAAAAGACAGAGTTTGTTCCCTTTAATGCAAAGTAGAAACATTCACCTGGATAAACTGCATAATGATGGCTGGGAGTGAGAAGTGTGTGATTGACGCTCGTCTATAAATAATTCCAGCTTCCAATC